TCCCCCCCCCCCCCCTCTCTCTCTCTCTCTCTCTCTCTCTCACTATCTCTCTCACTATCTCTCTCTCCCTCTCTCTCTCTCTCCCTCTCTCTCTTTCACTCTGTCTCTATCTCTTTCTCTCCCGTCTCTAAATATTATACAACGTCATTATTTTGTAAATTATATTCCTCTCTGATTGGCGGTCAGACTGTGTCAGTCTGTCAATTTGTCTGTTTATACATAAAATTTGGCATATTTCAAATTCGTTTTTCTCAGGTCAATTGTTTAACGTTTGTTTAACGTCGAGTGTACGTTTGTGGGTATATGTTTGTGTATGTGTGTGTGTGTGTGTTTATGTATAACAATATGTGTTTGTGTATGTTTCACCTACACACCACCGTTATCATGACATTCAAGTGTGTATCCTGATTCATTAATACTCTCAAATAATCTACACCCCACCTTCCATCCCCCGAAAATCCTCCGCCATCCTCCCCCGGTCGCCCACTCCCTCCCATCTCCCGCCCTCCCCCCTCCCATCCCCCGAAAATCCTACACCACTTCCCCCCCCCCTTGACCGTCCAGCCATCAACTGCGAGGTGGCGGAGTGGAGCGACTGGTCTCCCTGCTCCAAGACTTGCGGTGACAACGCCGTGCAGATCCGACGCCGTGACGTCATGCAACGCCCCAAACATGGCGGCCTGGCGTGCCCGGCCAGACGAGAGAAGCGGTTCTGTAACGTGCCCATGTGCCCGGACTCCCATGTAGGCCACAACTCTTCTCTTTAACTTAATCTATAAGTTTTTCTTCTCTGTCTCCCACAATCTCTACTGTCAGTAACTCTTCTCCTACCTACAATCTGTAAAATTATCTCTTCGACCAGCATCTCTTCTACTACACACAATCTCTAAGACCCTCTCCTCTGTCAGCAACTCTTTTACAAACTATCTCAAAGAGATCATGTCATGTAGGCCAACTCTCTTCTACCACATACAATCTCTGATATGCTTTCCTACTGCATGTAACTTTTCCCTGAGATCATTTCCTCAGCCACAACCTTTCTTCTACACACAATCTCTAAGAGATCATCTCATGTAGGCCACAACTCTTCTTTTACTCTTATCTCTCATGAAGGCCAGAACTCTTCTATTACACTTAATCTATGATATCCTTTCCTTTCCTGTAACTCTTCTTCCGCACACTATCTCTAAGATATTCTCTCTCACGTAGGCCAACACTTGTCTGTTATACACTAATGTCTGAGGTCTTCTCTTATTGCCAGTAACTCTTCTCTTACCCACAGTCTCGGAGATATTCTCCTCTGTCAGCAACTCTTCTTCTACTCTTAACTCTCATGTAGGCCAGAACTCTTCTATTACACTTAATCTATGATATCCTTTCCTTTCCTCTAACTCTTCTTCCACACACAATCTCTGAGATATTCTCTCTCATGTAGGCCACAACTCTTCTCTTACTCTTAATCTATGAGATCTTCTCTTATTGCTTGTAACTCTTCCACAATCTCTACTGTCAGCAACTCTTTTATCCACAATCTCTGAGATCATGCCTTTCTGTCAGTAACTCTCCTACCCACAACATCTGATACCCTCTCCTACTGCCGACAACTTTTCTTCCACACACAATCTATGAGATCTTCACTCTCATGTAAGCAACATGTCTTCTCTTACCCACAGTCTCTGGATCATCTCCTCTGTCAGCAACTTTTCTACCCACAGTCTCTAAGATCAGCTCCTCTGTCAGCAACTTTTCTACCCACAGTCTCTAAGATCAGCTCCTCTGTCAGCAACTTTTCTACCCACAGTCTCTAAGATCAGCCCCTCTGTCAGCAACTTTTCTACCCACTGTCTGTAAGATCAGCTCCTCTGTAGGCACTTTTTCTTCTACACACTCTCATGTAGGCTACAACTCTTCTTCCTCACACTTTCTCTGAATTCTTCTCCTCTGTCTCCATCAATCTCTACTGTCAGCAACTCTTCTTCCACCCACAATCTCTACTGTCAGCAACTTTTCTTCCACACACAATCTCTGAGATCTTCTCCTCTGTCAGCAACTTTTCTTCTATCTACAATATCTAGGATCTTCTCAGCTGTCAGTAACTTTTCCTCTGTCTACAATCGCTGACGCCATCTCCTACTGTCAGCAACACTTCTTCTACCTATCTATCTATGTCCTACTGCCACTATCTCCCCTCATGTCCCTATCTTTTTATCTGACTTTCTCTCTGTTACTTAAAAGATCATTTATTTTTTAGAAGTACTTTTGGAAATATGTTTTTAATCTACCTTTCCTTCTGCCACTGTTTTCGTTTCCTGCATATTCCCATCTACTGGTTTTCTGTCAGCTTTCTTGTGTCCTATCAACCTGACTTTTTCCGTCGTTTTCTTTGAAAAATAATATCCCAATTATAAAGGTGTCACTTTTCATAGCTGTTTCGGTTTCTTTTTTATTCTATTTCCCGGTGTGGGGAAGGGGTGGGGGCGGGGGTTAGCAGGGTTCGTGGCTGTTGAAAAAACAATCTCTTTAGAGAATAAATTAGAAGTCTCCAGATTTCTTGGATAGCGATGGCGCAAAGGGTCTGGTAGATACCTCAGATATTGACACCTCTACAATAGTGATCTGATCTACTCTCCGCTAGTCGGAGAATCTCTCACCTGATCTGACTGTCCTCTCTTTCGCACTTTGATTAGTCTAGTCTTTTATCATGACAGTCATGCTGTCTATTTAAAGATTTCTTTATTTTTTAAATTTTGAGTTGCCCTTTCTAGATGAGTCGCATGCTTTTTTGCCAATATTTTGCTCCTGCTACACCCTTTTTCTTTATATTTGTATTAATATGTATTATAAATAGTTTCTACTATGTTTTAATATTCAATAGCAAGTTTTACATATTTAGAAAACATTCTTTGAAATGGCTTCTCCTTTCTGTGGGTGCAATACTTGAAGAAAAGATCTCTTTTTCTGTTTATGAGGATGCTGTTGTTTTTCATACAACAGCTTTTCTAAATTTTCGATGTCGTCAGTTTTGATATCAATCGTTCAAAATCACTTCGTCAAAAAACAAAAAACTACAACGACACCCCCTCCAACACGCACACACACACACACACACACACACACACACACACACACACACACACACACGCACACATGTACACATATTCACACATACACAGGCACACACACACGCACACACACACAGACACACGCGCACACACACACACGCACACACACACACACACGCACACACACACGCTTTTCGGCATACGAAAAGATAGGCTACACTCTCAAGTGAATACTTGACAATAAATGCTGACTGTTAATAAACAACTCCCGAATACAGGACCAGGTAATCTTATAACACCCACCGAATGGAATGAA